TAGAGGAGAGCTAGAAAGAGAAGGGAAGAAAAGGGAAAAACGTATGGAGTGGGTAGGTGAGAGAAGAGGGAAGAGGAAGAAGAGAAAGAGACGGAGAGAGACGGAGAGAAAGAAGAAGAAAGGGAGAGAGAGAGTGTAGAATAAATAAATAAAATAAAAAGGGAGAGATGGGTGAATGCCCAAAAGAGAGAGAGAAGGCACGTTGCATGTATCTGCAACCTTGGGAAGTTCAGACAAAAAAAAAAGGAAATAAAAAAACGTTGGGATGTGGGAGAGGGAGGTAGGGAAACGTGAAAGTGTAGAATAAATAAATAAAATAAAAAGGGAGAGATGGGTGAATGCCCAAAAGAGAGAGAGAAGGCAGGTTGCATGTATCTGCAACCTTGGGAAGTTCGGACAAAAAAATGGAAATAAAAAAACATTGGGAAGTGGGAGAGGGAGGTAGGGAAACATGAAAGTACTTGGGGAGTGGGAAATGTGACTTAATTACTTAATATAATTTATTTCTTTTCTATTTAATCCATTTAATGTTATTGATTATTTTATTACTCATTATAAGTACTTACATTACTAAATTCTCTTTCAAATTGTTGCTTAATTACTTAAATCTCTATAATCATTTTCATTATTTGCTATTTAATTCTTCCTTGTATGAATTTATTTATGTTCTTAGTTAATTTTCAATCTTCACTATTATTTTTTAAGCATGGTAAAGTGCCTAATTTTCACGACAAATCAAATTGGTTTACGTCTTTAATTATTTTTTAATTTTTGATAAATAATAAATAAGAACGTGTATCATGTCCAATGAATAATGTGAAATAAATTGTTGCTTAATTACTTAAATTTCTATAATCATTTTCTTTATTTCCTATTTAATTCTTCATTGGATAAATTTATTTATGTTCTTAGTTAATTTTCAATCTTCACTATTATTTTTTAAGCATGGTAAAGTGCCTAATTTTCATGACAAATCAAGTTGGTTTACATCTTTAATTAGTTTTCAATTTTTGATAAATTAATAGACATAACAACGTGTACCATGTCCAGTGAATAACGTGAAATAAGGTTACTCATATATCTTATCATGCAATTTATAAAGTGTAAAATATTGTACTAAAAAATGATAAATAAATTACTAAGGGGTGTTTAATTCTCTTTCATTAATTACTTCAGATTTTCTAAGTCATAGAGTTTGTCAGATCGTAATATAATCAACTTAAATCACACAAACCCACTATGCAATGCATTTCCTTCCAATTTTTTGTGTCAAAATAATAGATGATTGACTAAATAAACTTCTTCTAAAGTTTCATTAAAAATTTCCATGTATTTATCATAATTTCCGTGGTTTTTATCCAATTTTTATCGATATCGATATTTTCCTGATATTTCCATCGATATTTCCGTGTTTTTGAACCACCGATATTTCTGAAACTATCGATATTTAAGACCTTGATGGTGAATAAGCAAATCAGGAAAGGCAGACATCATCTCATTATTAGACACACATCTATCCAACAAAAGCTGTACATTTTCTTCCCTACTTCAACAATTGGACTACGTGTATTTGTTGTATAAGGAATGAGAGTCAAACCACACTCCTCCAAAGCATCTCCAAAATCCCTCATTTGCGACATAGGTCTAAAACGCTTTCTCATATACTCATGGGCTGCCACAATCTCATTGAAATCTCTACCCAACACCCAAGGACCTGACACATCCCCTACAAGCCATCTTAGAAGATTCGACAAATGCTTCCATAAATTAGTCAAGTTACCATAAACACCTGTGAATTGAAAATCAACAAGTTCCACTCCTTCTATATAAGCATCAATATGACCTACCAAGAATGACCGAATAGTCACATGCACACCTTCCTGCAAGACCCCCTAATCTTCCCTTGCAATACACACTGAAGAAACCCGCCACCCCTAACTGCTGTTAAATAACTGCCATATGTCGTGTAGTCTTTTTGGTTTTAGATAAAAAGACCACACGGGGTTTCTTTGCTATGATAAAAGCCTTTAGAGCTCATAATGTCCATGGTGAACCCAAACCACAGACATTCCAACTGAGGATCATCATTTCTTGTGATGGGCCCTTGACTCGAGATCCATCACAGATTCTCTAGCATTGCTAGATCGTTCAATTTCCTTTAGAACCCCTTGTCGTTGTGCACCAATCTCAATCTTAGGATCTTGTCGTGGACGAGCTCCCTTTATATGGAGCCTCTTTTGTTTTTTCCAAGTGACTGGTTACAATGGAAAGGATACACCATGTGACCCAGACTCCAGACTGGACCTCCCACCTTGCAAAGTGGATTCAGCTTCCCCACTCAAACCATAATAGGGACTCATTGAACCTGGACTCCCAGCAAGCTCAGAGCACAACTGGACTGAGGCCTCACTCAAGTTGACATTCTCAACTTCTCGCCTAGTACTATACCCCCCTTCAATCACATCCACCTCCAATCTACGTTTCTTATTTGGATGTGGAGACATCGCCATCAATTCCCTATCCTCCATCGAAGACATGTCCACCGCTAGAGAATCAAAGGCCACCATAAGTTCAACTAAGCCCATTAATATTAGGAAAAGGTTCACGGACTTATGTTAAACATTTTGAAGTATAAGTATATATAGTTTGACCAACAAGAATTACCAAGCAATGTGGTTCCAGCAAGACATGGTCTTTCTATGGAGCATTCTCCATCATCAGGATTTGTTGTAGTTTGTTGCCGAAGACCTTTTGGTGGGTGAAGAAAATTTTGAAAACAGAAGATGGTTAGCACAGAAAAGAGAAGCAGCAACGTGCCCTGACTTTCCTCCACCCAACCCTTATGTTCGAAGAATTCTATCAATTTACTCACAAATATGCTTGGAAATCTTGCATTTCTTCTATGTTGCCAACAATAGCAGATGGTGTTGGGGGTTGGTGATGACTTTCAATGTTTCCTTTGGCCTCCATTAACTTGACAGAACCAATCTTGGTTGCCTCGGACAAATTCTTTGTATCTACAATAATATGCAAAGATTCTTCACTCATATCCATTCTTCAACAATCTAAAAAAATAAAAACTAATTTCCACACTTGGTCACTTCTTACTCTCTGAAATGAATTCAACAAGAACAAAAAGACTCGTCACTCTTCTCACTATCTCAAATGAATTCTGAATTCTCTCAAATGCCTCAGAAGATGCCTTAAAAGAAAAGCTAATGCATTCTCAAAAATTGTGGTGGTGTTGAGTTAATGCACACATTCCGTAAAAAGGTGTAATGGGAAGTTGGCTCCTATATTGCCTGTTTTTGCCAGAGCCTAGGGATGGCAACGGGCAAAGTATGGTCCGGGTATGTCAATACCATCTCCACCCCCGTCCTCGTTTAGTACGTTTCGAGGAATCCCCGCCCTATACCCGTCGAGGGACCATCCCCCATACTCACCGTGATTCCCCCAATTTTATATTAAAAAATATTTATTCTCACATTAATTTATCATTAAACACATTTAATATAATTATAAAATTCAACTCAAATACTCAAAATCGCTTCAATCTCAATAGCACAAACACATTTAATAGTTGAAAGCTTCATCATCTTATAAAGTTCATCTCAATCTCACAAAAACAAATAAGTACACAACGTAATCAAAATAAGAACAAATCAATCCAAGTCCACAACTTAGTAAAAAAAAACATGCTTCATTTATATCACAATAATTTTTGTGAATCTTGTTAAAGTCTCATTATTTTTCTTCTTCTTCTTTCTCAATACCAAAACCGTACATGGATATGACTATTCCTCTTCCCTCCATATATAGATATGGATACCTTGATTATGAGAGTACTTTGTGTTTCTTGTCTACCTCTGTCATAGAGTGATATGCGATTACCAATCTACATTAGCCATCCAATTGATGAGGACTTCTAATCTACCTCCTACATTGATTCAATTCGAGTGTTTTTTTTACGGTAGTATGTGTAGTAATTGTCTAATGTAAAGATGAGGTTTGGAGTTTGGTTATTTACGTTATCTTTGGATTGTTTGACTTTGTTGAATATACATGTTTGCAAATGAATTTTATTTTATTTAATCAATATTTGTTATGGTGTTTGATTATTTTCGTTATCTTTGGATTGTTTGAATTTATTGATTTTTATACATGTTTGCACATGAACTTTGTTTATTAAATCCATATTTGTTAGTTGGAGCTGGAATGACAACTATTAAATCAATTCATTATTTAGTTACAATACAACGAGCCTTGATGGAGTATAAGGATGACAACTGGCCAGATATGATCCGGGAATGCCAATACCATCCCCGCCCCCATTCCTGTTTAATAGGTTTCGGGGAATCCCTTCCCTTTACTCGTCGGGAGAACATCCCCCACATCTTGATTCCCCCAATTTTGTATTAAAAAGTATTTATTCTCACATTAATTTATCATTGACACATTTAATATAATTATAAAATTCAACTCAAATACTCAAAATTGCCTCAATCTCAATCTCACAAACACATTTAATAGTTGAAAGCTTCATCATTTTATAAAGTCCATCACAATCTCACAAAAATAAATAAGTACACAACTTAATCAAAATAAACACAAATAAATCCAAGTCCACAACTTAGTAAAAAAAAAAATGCTTCATTTATATCACAATAATTTTTGTGAATCTTGTTAAAGTCTCATTATTTTTTTTCTTTTTCTTTCTCAACACCAAAACTGTACATGAATATGACTCTTCTTCTTCCCTCCATATATTAATATAGATACCTTGATTATGAGAGTAATTTGTATTCCTTTGTCCACCTCTATCTTAGAGTGGTATGTGATTACTAATCTACATTAGCTATCCAATTGATGAGTACTTCTAATCTACCTCCTACATTGATTCACTTCGAGTGTTTTTGTTACGGTAGTATGTGTAGTAGTTGTCTAATGTAAATGTGTTGTTTGGTGTTTGGTTATTTACATTATCTTTGGATTGTTTGAATTTGTTGATTATGTGAACAATTCAAGCAGAAGCAGAGAATGCCAATATATT